ACTCTGTTTATACAGCATTATACTCTCTTTATAAACCGTTATACTGTGTTTATACACCATCATACTCTGTTTATACAGCATCACCCTCTGATTATAAACCATCATACTGTGTTTATACAGCATCACACTCTGTTTATAAACCATCATACTGTGTTTATGAACCATCATACTCTGTTTATACAGCAGCATACTCTGTTTATACACCATCACACTCTGTTTATACATCATCCTACTCTGTTTATACAGCATCACACTCTGTTTATACAGCATCACACTCTGTTTATACACCATCACACTCTGTTTATACAGCATCATACTCTGTTTATAAACCGTTATACTCTGTTTATACAGCATCATACTCTGTTTATAAACCGTTATACTCTGTTTATAAACCATCATACTCTGTTTATACATCATCCTACTCTGTTTATACAGCATCACACTCTGTTTATACAGCATCACACTCTGTTTATACATCATCCTACTCTGTTTATACAGCATCACACTCTGTTTATACAGCATCACACTCTGTTTATAAACCATCACACTCTCTTTATACAGCATTATACTCTCTTTATAAACCGTTATACTGTGTTTATACAGCATCACACTCTGATTATGAACCATCCTACTCTGTTTATACAGCATCACACTCTGATTACGAACCATCATACTCTGTTTATACAGCATCACCCTCTGATTATAAACCATCATACTGTGTTTAAACAGCATCACACTCTGTTTATAAACCAGCATACTGTGTTTATGAACCATCATACTCTGTTTATACACCATCACACTCTGTTTATACATGATCCTACTCTGTTTATACAGCATCACACTCTGTTTATACAGCATCACACTCTGTTTATACACCATCACCCTCTGATTATAAACCATCATACTGTGTTTAAACAGCATCACCCTCTGATTATAAACCATCATACTGTGTTTAAACAGCATCACACTCTGTTTATAAACCAGCATACTGTGTTTATGAACCATCATACTCTGTTTATACACCATCACACTCTGTTTATACATGATCCTACTCTGTTTATACAGCATCACACTCTGTTTATACAGCATCATACTCTGTTTATACAGCATCATACTCTGTTTATACAGCATTATACTGTGTTTACACACCATCACACTCTGTTTATACAGCATCACACTCTGTTTATACAGCATCACACTCTGTTTATACACCATCACACTCTGTTTATACAGCATCCTACTCTGTTTATACAGCATCACACTCTGTATATACAGCATTATACTGTGTTTATACAGCATTATACTCTGTTTATACAGCATTATACTGTGTTTATACACCATCCTACTCTGTTTATACAGCATCATACTCTGTTTATACAGCATCACCCTCTGATTATAAACCATCATACTGTGTTTATGAACCATCATACTCTGTTTATACAGCATCATACTCTGTTTATACACCATCACACTCTGTTTATACAGCATCCTACTCTGTTTATACAGCATCACACTCTGTTTATACAGCATCACACTCTGTTTATACACCATCACACTCTGTTTATACAGCATCCTACTCTGTTTATACAGCATCACACTCTGTTTATACAGCATCATACTCTGTTTATAAACCATCATGCTCTTTTTATACACCGCCATACTCTGTTTATACACCGTCATAATGTGTTTATACAACATCCTACTCTGTTTATACAGCATCACACTCTGTTTATACACCATCACACTCTGTTTATGCAGCATCCTACTCTGTTTATACAGCATCACACTCTGTATATACAGCATTATACTGTGTTTATACAGCATCACACTCTGTTTATACAGCATTATACTGTGTTTATACAACATCATACTCTGTTTATACAGCATCACACTCTGTTTATACAGCATCACACTCTGTTTATACAGCATTATACTGTGTTTATACAACATCATACTCTGTATATAAACCATCATACTCTGCTTATAAAGCATCATACTGTGTTATACACCATCATACTGTGTTTATACAGCATCACACTCTGTTTATAAAGCATCACACTTTGTTTATACACCGTCATACTCTGTTTATAATCAATCACACTCTGTTTATACAGCATCACACTCTGTTTATACACCGTCATACTCCGTTTATAATCAATCACAATCTGTTTATACAGCATCACACTCTGTTTATACAGCATTATACTCTCTGTATAAAACATGATACTCTCTTTATAGATAGGTGTATGTAAGTCTTGGGAAACATATATCAGTTGTGACCCTTGCATAAAGGTACATCATATCTTTGTTCTATATAAAAAAAAACAACAACATTGGCTTAGCCATATAAATATTTAGATTGCTATCTATCATTTCTAACCATACAAAAAGAAAATGTTGATGTACTGGTTTGGGGACAAAGTAACTATACATGAAAATTATCTTTAAGCAAAACTTTCGCCAAGCCTTTACTTCTGATTACATACATCGCTAGCGAAATGTTTTGGACAACGGCAAGCTTATAATTGGTAGTCTAGCCGATGCTAAGATCTTTAAAATCTGTAGTGACAGGTCAATATATTACTACAATCACTTTGGGCCTCTGTAGAGATGTATCAATTAACATCACGAAAATACCAACATATTAGCATAATCATAATCCAAACTAAAATTATATTAAACTAGGGGTTAAATGTACAAGGAAAATAATCCAGGTGTTCCGGAAGCGTAAAAGTCTTTTGCCTCATCGACGACACCTTTCGTGTAAATCTTGGACAATCCAAGAAAGAAATGACACTTTCTCTACTGAGAACAATGTACATGTATACAAACGGTAGTCTACAATCACAGTGTGTCTCAGTAGACCCGTGTCATTACATATGTATATTACTGAAATCACGGTGTGTCTCAGTAGACACGTATCATTATAGATGTATATTTTACTACAATCACGGTGTGTCTCAGTAGACACGTGTCATTACATATGTATATTAATACAATCACGATGTGTCTCAGTCGACACGTGTCAGTACATATGTATATAATTACTAAATCACGGTGTGTCTCAGTAGACACGTATCATTATAGATGTATATCACTACAATCACGTTGTGTCTCAGTCGAAACGCGTCAGTACATATGTATATTAATACAATCAAGGTTTGTATCTGTAGACACGAGTCAGAACATTGCATATTACTATAATCAAGGTGTGTCCCTGTAGACACGTGTCAGTACATATGTATATTTTACTACAATCACGGTGTGTCTCAGTAGACACGTGTCAGTACATATGTATATTACTACAATCACGATGTGTCTCTGTAGACACGTGTCAGCACATATGTATATAACTACAATCACGATGTGTCCCTGTAGACACGTGTCAGTACATATGTATTTTACTATAATCAAGGTGTGTCCCTGTAGACACATGTCAGTACATATGTATATAACTACAATCACAATGTGTCTCTGTAGGCACGTGTCAGTACATATGTACATTACTATAATCACGCTGTGGTCCTGTAGACACGTGTCAGTCGCATTGTCAGTTTTAGAGATATCTTTTTCTTGACCGTTCAGAAAAACTCCACTTTTTGTAGTGCGTCATCATCTGACCGAACGTGGATACAGGAAATGGCCTTTTTTAATTGTGAAAAAAGATGAAAGTCTGATGGAGCGAGATCAGGCGAATAAGGCTGATACTCAATCAATTCAAAGCCGCAATCGTTAATGGCAGCCATGGCAATGACAGACCTGTGAACAGGGGCATTGTCCTGGTGGAACAACTCACCTTTGCTAAGTGTTCCGCGGCGCTTGAGTTTAATATTTTCCTCTTAACTGCCTAAGAACTGATGTATAATATGTGCCTTTGATTGTCCCTTTTGCAGATAATTTACCACTAGAATACCGATAGCATCCCATAAAATCGAGGCCATAATCTTTCCAGCTGATGGAACAGTGTTTGCCTTTTCTGGCGGGGGTGAACCAGGGTGCTTTTATTGTTTAAACTGTTGTTTGGCCTCTGGGGTGAAATGATTTACCCTCGTTTTATCCATAGTCACAAACCACAGCAGGATCTGCCTCTTAAAGTTCAGATTAGCACGCGACAAGTCCGCTTGGTGTGCATCTGATCATCTGTCAAAAGTCATAGTACCCGACGGGTTGAGAGATTTCTTCTTGCAAGATTTGCCGTAAAAATCCTGTTAAATCCCAACTGTTCTGGCTATATATCTCTATGTAATTCGTCAGTCTGCCATAACAATATCATGAACTTAATTGACCATTTTTGGGGTTACACAGTGACAGGCGTCCCAGGACGGGCGTTATCCCCAAGGCTCTCCCTGCCACTCTTAAATTCCGCTTTTCTCGTTTACTTTAGAGTGCTACCTCTTCTAAATAAACTGAGCAGCCTTAAATAGTCAAGGAATAGTAGAGCTGAAAAAGGATATCCCTGTTTAACTTCTTCAATACAAGGCTTGTCAATCAGCCCTCGTATTTCAATATTTTTTTTTTCACAAATGCTGTCTCCTCAGAAGAGGAGTGCTAATGTGTGTGCGTAATTTTAATAATTTTTCTATTCATTGTTTGATTTTAACAAGAAATATTTTTTTGTGAGAGTGCATTGCTGATTTAGGTTACAAAATGACACAAGAAAACCACATCCTCCTTTTATTCCTATTGAATGACAAAATGATTACAAACGATATTTTTTTCAACAGCATTACTTAACTTCATTTCATTTCTGAAAACACTAAATATAAATATTTTATGTAAGATTCCATTATCATAAAATAATCTATGTAAATAGTTTAATGTTATAAACATGTAAATAGAAGATCCCGAAATGTTGGATACATTTACATGTTATCGTCAAACACATGATATACAAATTTACTTGCACGTGCAATAATATGGCGGCTGATGTTTCGTCTCATAAAATATGTGACAAAAAGCGTCACCAATCAGTTCGTGCGGATGTCAGACGATGTAAGTACTTAAACCAGATTTGTAAACAAGGTATACACCACCATCAGAAACAAAACAACGGAAATTCCAATAACAAAACAAACTTTGTCATAAATATTTGCCACTGTTTTCCACGTAAATACTTCCTCGTCTTCATCCTCAGGGTTAACATCCGGTTCAGGTTCAATTTGAATCGGAAGAACTTTTCGGTCTCGAGAAACATGTAAATGGCTGTTTTTGGATTTTGATCGTGATGTCAACTCCGAGGTGTCATTTTTTCTGTCCGTTTTTGGCGTGTGAACACTCACATTGACGTCACTTATTGATTTCGATGAACTGATTTCTGGAGTCACTTCGATGCCGTTTCCTTTGGCCTCCTTCACTTTGATCTGCCGGTGGAAACTCTTTGGTGTACATACCTTACAGGTGAAGAAATCTGTGACGCGTTTCACCCATTTAGGTACGGGCTTCGTGACGTCTTTGTGGTGAAGAATGAGCCCCAGTATTGTACAAATACAGATCGATGTTGACATCACAAAATCGCACATCAGAAAAAAGGTGAGAACAGACACTGGATTAGAGGCTTTAGGTAACGTATCAGAAACTATTGTGAGAAACACAGATACAGCTAGTAGACATGTTACACTGTATCCAACACGCTCGCCAGAATCAGCAGGTAACAGAAAAACCATGTTACTCAAAAGCGTCAACATGATAACTGGAATGAACACGTTAACGATGAAAAATGTGTATCTTCTCTCCATCTCCACTTCGTAAACAATGGAGGCTTGGTCACGTGATGTCAACTCATAACCCTTTGTTTTTGTGATGACCCATTCTACATTCTCAGAAAATCGTGAGAAATCGATGTTTTCCTGAATCGTCTGAAATGTCAGCTGGTTGGACGTATATCCCCAGGCTGCAAATTCTAGTTTACAAATCTGTTTGTCAAACGGGAAGAACGTCACGTCTACGTCACATGTTGTATCCATCACCTCGCCAACCATCCATCTTGCTGTTGCGTTGTAAAAATACAATATCGGTAAATCATCAAATCCGACAGCCTTGATGTATTGGTAAGCATTCACTAAGGTTAGTTCCGGTTTCCACACCAATCTTTGTGGAATATAAAGTTTCTCCACGTTTTCATAATCTGCCGGTGTCCAAACCATTCTTGGGTCGTTCCAGATCAGATAGAAATATCCAACTACAGAGAATTTCCCAGTTACTTCGTCAAAGTCTTTTAAACTCAGCATAAAAAACGAGACGTAAACAATAGTACTGTGTGACTGATTCTCATTTGGCCTGATATATCTGTTGTAGTTCGTTAAAACAGTGTCGTACAGGGTTTCAGTATAACTCCTGTTTTGACTTAAGCAAAATCCAAAGGATAGAAGAATTAAAATGGTACAATATAACCGACACAACATGTTTGTGTCGTCCGTGTTGTATAAATCCCCTCTTTTTTCCTGGTGAAAAATGTAACCGTGGATTAAAAGTTGGATTCACAAGAAAACAAGCAAAGCTTGATTACTTCATCAAGTAGAAACAAGTTCTTAAGAGTGAAATACTTCTAAGTGATTTATGTGAATCTGTTCAACTTCTACTACAATCCTTCCTGTTTGTACCCTTCAGCCATACTACGTCATTGTTATTTCAAGTTTTAAAGGACAGTGTTCTCTCTGTTGACTTGTCTGTCACCAATAAATGTTCAGTTAGGTGTGATTTAAATTCGTTTCAAACCTGAAAATTATGTAAATACTTTTCAAAATACTCTATGGCACCTGAAGATTATTCAGGCATTGATTGACACTTTGGGACAACGTATCGAAGGAGAGGCAATGCCCATAAGGTCAATAGCGCAAGTACCATTTAGATTTTAGTGTAAGCGTATCAAATCAACGTCACTATGAAAGGATCTCATTCTGCAGAACAACAGGCCTGTTGAATTCCAAATGATCAACATAACTTTCATAGATTTAATAAAATGAAAGTAAAAGACAGTTGCATATAGATGCTAGACAAACGATTATAAAAGGGAAAAAATGTGTTCGGTCAAGACAATGCGAGTATTATATCAATACATAGACAAAAACGTGTAGAGTTCTTTGAAGCAAAAATCTTTATCATCTTGAGATCACCGGAATGATATTTCTTTCTTTTATAATCTTCATACATACTGTATATTCTGATTGTGAACTTTTTGTAACAAGAAATTCGAATAATTGCAGGTGTTTGTCAATCTATGTATTATACTATTCACGTCAAACAGAAAACACATAGAGTGTCAGTACAGTGAACGGAGGGTAGGGGAGGAATGATATAGAGAAAGCTTACACCGAAGTATATTTATAATATAAAGTACTTATATGGCTTCTTTAGTAAATCATGAACTACCAGGTGCCCTGCTTGACCTGGTTTTGTTGACAGATCATTCAAATGTATTTGAATAACAATAATACCTAGATATGGGAAAAAATACTACAAAAACGAGTGTCGTCTTACCTAGTTTTACTTGTTACTGTCGTCAACTTTTAGATGAAATGATTCTTTATTAACAAATGATTACAAGGTAGTTCAGTAAGTTGCGTTATTGTGGTACTGTATGACTTCCAGTCATGAAGAGCAAAGATTTCTGGAGACAAGTATTTTTTAAATTGGACACTTATTTTTGTTGCGTATCAGGTATAAGGTATAAGGTATGTTCTTTAATTATACCTTAAGCGTTTGAAGTACCAATTAAAGCTTGATTGGTTTGCCGTTTAACCTAGACCACCATTAAATCTATGCTACAATGTAAACAATTGAGATAATTGCGTTTAAAGGTCAACGACATTTGACAGGACATAATTATTGTAATGTTCGTCTTCATTCTGTCAATTTAATGGATTTTTTTCTGCTATATGTTACATGTATGTATGTATGTATGTATGTATGTATGTATGTATGTATGTAGATGACGATAGATGACGATGTTTGTAATAATATGTAAAATGTATATATTATTGTTATTGTCCTTCGAAAAAAAGGAAGACTTATTTTTAAAATGTTTCATCACCGTATCAATATTTACAACTTTCTCTTATTTGTATACTGGTACAGTTACATGTAACACTAAACATTTTCTCATTAACGGAATCAATTTCGTCTTTACTTGTTTATAAAACCTCTGGTTTGTGATATTTGTTTTCAGTCCACAGTAGGAAATGCTTTGCCACAGATGAACGGATTGTCGAATAGGATTTATTGGAGTAGTTTAATGTGACAATTATGTCCACAAAAGTCTGGACTGGTCATTCTTCTGTGAACAATAACAAGCGTGATTAATATATTCACGTTAACGGACATGTGGTATATTTGCTTTGAAATATATTCACACTTCAAAAGGGTGTAATTATTTCTAAATACACAATATATTATGTTTATGTTACAGATTACTGCAAAAATAAATTCACTATTTGTAAATAGACCATTTCGTCTCGGCTGCAATGATCAATGATTTTCAATCTTGGTGAATTCAACTTTTCGCCTTCGTCAAATAGTTTGTCACGAATTTCATAGAAACTTATGTAAACACGGCCAGCTGTGTGATTTCTAAGTGCACGTGTTCTCATGTGATATCTAACCTTTTTGTTATCAAATAAAATCGCCATGGAGAGGGATAGTATTAATTTTCTCTCCAAAATATAATGTTTACGTTCTTACTTAGCCATATAAGTGATGTTTGTCAGAATGATATATGTACGTATTCTGTAGATATTGTTCGTCATTGTCTGTATCAAATTATATGAAAAAGAGTAATAATTCTTGTTATATTTTACTGTTATCATTATCAGATTTGTCGGTAAAATTTCGATTGTATTTAAAGTTTTCGTGTACTTTTAAGGCTTCCCTGTCCCCTTAACATGCGAGGTCATATGAAGAAGTGTATAATTACGAGACGAAAGGAAAATTCGACATTACTTCGACATTCATATATTCGTGACAATGAGGCTTTCCGTTCTATATCGCCTTTCTAATCGAAGTGGGTGGATGGGGTTACATAATTAAGATTGTGTATAACTCTTATCTCAGTGTTTTTTAAACAAAGTTTTCTTCTCGTAGTGGACAGGTCACCAAAGTCAAAAAGTTTCGGGAAATAAAAAGGACGTGGCATCAATACATAGCTATCATAATGCTGAACTTTATATCGTATTTATATATCCTGAAAAGTGCTTTATTAAACTTTGGTCAAATCTTAAGCAAGTTCCTTTAGAATGACACTTTCATCGCAACTTTTGTAATTCCCCGAGTCTTAAAATAAACGCCAAATGTTATCATTCACTTCGGTACAATGCTGTTATTTCAGTATGTCGGATGTGGATATCTTTGGGACTTAAAAAGGATTCATTTCTGATTTCGGCTCGACTGCATCTAATTCTAAATTCAAATGTACTATTTTCATGTGTGATTTTTATAAATCTTTAGAATACAGATGGTAGACTCTGCTGGTGGAGTCGCGTTTTGCCGTAATTTTCATGTCATGTTGATTGTTTAGAACAATAACACTGTTTGAAAAGACACTTTTGTTTGACTTTCTTTTGAAATCATCCGTTATCTAAGAAAATATTTGTATTACATTCGAACCTCGTTATCTCGAACACGACTATGGGGGAAATTCGTGATAACCGATGTTCTCAATTTAAGTGAGATTGAATACTTAATGTAAAGTTAGGCAAGGGCCTACGAAATACTTCAAAATGAGCGGGAACTTCGAGTTCTACGAGTTCGAGATAACGATGCTTGATTGTACATGGATAATGCACCTTGATGTCCTTGGCATCACTGGAGGACCTAACAGCTGCGTGATGCACTTTATTTCATGTATTGGCTGTTTCGAATTCTAAATTAGTATTGAAAAGTGTAATTCGTGTCTTAATATAATTTCTTCAAATATACTATGGAAAGAAATGCATGGAAGATTGATATACGATCTATATTGGATGATAATTCCTCACATAAGTCAATGTTTTTGGTTTATATGTATATATATATATATAACATGCCTTATATCAATCTACTTAAACTAAAGAATTATTAATCTCTGAAATATTGAACTTTGTAATATTGTCTCTTTAATTTCATCGAGAAAAGATAAAGTAAGATTATTGTTGAGTTCAAATGACATTCATCTGATACCTAAACAATGTTGTCCTGTGTAATATTTCGTTAAGTATAGCCCTGATGAAGAAAGTAGGAAGAGTTCTTCATTTAGATAAAATTTCTTCGGTATTCCAAAACTTCAAACAAAAAAAAAAAAAAAAAAGATATATCAATAGAATTTACATTATTTTATTTCAAGCTCAAATTCCTTGAAACTATGGCAAAGCAGATACAAAAGAAAAGATTTACATGGAGACTTATACAAAGAGATTAAGACTGGGTATTCCTGAAGAAAAATCGTCCTCTGCTTCATCGAAGACTCCCACCAAAGTAAATCTTATTTAATGAAAGTACAATGTGTAATATCACGTTCCAAATAAAAAACAACTTGAACAACAACAGCAGCATCACCAGTCATTCTAACGAACATCAAACACGTCAGATCGCACGAGGAACAGATAAGTTCAGATTTGTAATGCGTTGCCAAAGGCTACAAATACAATGCTCTACATTCCGAGTTTACTGGTCACTACTGGTCACTACAAAAAAAAAAAAAAAAAAATTAAAATGCTAAACGATATTCGTATACATTAAGTAAATAACCAACAGTACAACGCATGCCACGAGACTTAAAACGAAGCAAACAAGGTCAAACATACGGGCAACAGTTTTCCACGTGATCTCCTCGTATTCCACCGTGTTATCCCCTTGTACATTTTTTACCGATGCATTGCTTGTATCTCTTTGTGTTAGAATTTTACTTCGAAACATTTTTGAGGACGCAATTTTCTTTACAATTCTTGGTATTTCCTGTTCTTTGTCGACCTTGTGGTACATTTGGAGTCCGAGTATAGTCAATACGCACAGACATGTCGCAAGAACTAAGTCACACATGAGGAAAAAACTCAAGACTGAAATAGGATTGGAGGACCGCGGAAGGCTTTCAGATACCATCGTCAGAAACACGGCTATTGCCAACAGACACGTAATACTGTAACCAACACGCTCGCCACTGTCAGCCGGAAGTAGAAACACAAGCGGGCAAAGACTCGTTAGGAGAACTACAGGAACATATATACTGATGATGAAAAAAGTAGACTTTCTCTGCAGATGGAATTTATAAACGATATAAGCAGATCCATTCAATGCTATTTCCTTCTCAGTTTTCGTTATATCCCATTCAGAATTTTCTACATAAAAAGCAAAATTAACGTCATTGACTGAGGGTGATAAAAAAATGTCAGTACCTTCATAACCCCAAACAAGGAAATACAGTGGACACACTTGTTTATCAAACGGATAATGCGTCACATCTACGTCACATGTTGCCTGCATGACGTCACCAACATACCACGTTGCGTTGCCGTTGTGTTGGTACCTTATGAGATTGTTGTCGGATCCCAGGGGTTTCAAACGTGAGAAAGGGTTTGCCAGCGTTAATGCAGGTTTCCAAACTTCACTTTGGGGAAATTCTATTTCACTTATGTCTCCATATGAACTTGACGACCAGGAAAGTCTTTCATCAATCCAATTTATATACAAGAAGGCCACGACAGTAAAGCGACCTGTCGTCTCCTCTAACTCACGGACACTCGTGACATACATGTCTGTTGTAACGTACGTCGCCCGACTTTGATCCACGTCCGGGCGAATGTATTTGTAGTAAGAAGCATCAGACGGTAGAAGCTTTGTGTACAAATTTTCAGCATCGGACCGATTCGCATCACTATGACAGACTTTGATAATCCCAGTCAAAAACAGTACCATTAGTGGAATGTTATAGACGATGTACATTGTTGTTGGTCCGGATCAAAGAATCGGTTCTAAATTTATGATGACTTAGTATGCCCTTTTACAAGTCTCTGTACTTACACTCCCGCTCTCAGAATCCAATACTTGTTGGCTCTTGTACTCGGTTCTAATATTTGAACACAGATATATACTTCTGTATTTAAATACTTCTCGGGTTAACATCCAGGTAATTGACACAGTATGTCACGGTTCAAAGACGCAACGTGTTTATCCTTTATTTGAACAGTTTAATAATATTTTTACACCGGAAAAAGTATGTATCGTGATATATCTATAGATCTCGGCTAACCGAAACTCATACTTCCCTAACCGAAACAAATATTTCCCAAACTGAAACAAATATTTCCCTTAACCGAAACACATAATTCTCCAACCGAAACAAATATTTTTTAGCCGAAACAAATAATTCTCTAACCGAAACACTTACTTCTCTAACCGAAACAAATACTTCACTAACCTAAACAAATAATTTTCTAACTGAAACAAATACTTCTCTAACTAAAACAAACACTTCTCATGCTGAAATAAATGATTATCTGACCGAAACAAATATTTCTCTAACCGAAACAAATATTTCTCTAGCCGAATCAAATTCGTCTCTAACCGAAACAAATTCTTCTCTAACCGAAACAAATACGTCTCTAACCGAAACAAATACTTCTCTAACCGAAAAAATACTTCTCTATCTGAAACATTTATTTCTCTAACCGAAACACTTACTTCTCTAACTGAAACAAATACTTCTTATACTGGAATAAATACTTATCTGACCAAAACAAATGCTTCTCAAACTGAAACAAATACTTCTCTAACCGAAACTCATACTTCTATCTCAGACATCTTTATCCACATGATGTGTGCTAAAATAATTGCAGTCATTTTATCTCATTTCGCAAGATATTAATACTCAATAACATCAAAATAACATGTTGCACGTACCATGGTACGTTCCTTGACACACGTTAATTACCAATTAAACGAGAATGCATACCAAACACACCAACACGGTCCTGCCGCTGTCACGAATAAATCTTACTTCTAACACTTCTAAGTTTTTAAAACTTATGTTAGAATAACCTGCAATCGGTGAATGGTATTCCAGCAATAGAGAAAATTGATAATACCAGGCTGACCTTGTTCATCAAATAACACACCATTACTGAAGATTTGGTAAGGTTTTAATAACAGTAAGTCTACAAAATCAAAACCTGTAAACCATCGTCTTATTTAACGTACAGATATTATTAACACTCAACAAACAACCGAGATCTTTACCAACCCTCACCCCCACCCCTTCCAAGCCAGTCTTTCCAGCCAACTGCTGTTACATTGATATTCAGCTGCAACGTAGCGATAGTGTCCAAAAGCCAGCGAGGTGTAACTGAGATGATTAACCAAGTAACTTAATACCAAATGTTACTTCCAGGAAAAAACTGAGAATAAACAACAAAAAAAGAAAGATTTACACGGAGACTCCTAAAACGTACAAATATGATAAGACCAGATGTATCGAAAAGGCAAGTGTCTTCTCCTTCATCGCCGACACACACCACGTAAATCTTGGCCACTCCACGTTCTCGAATAAAGTAATGAACCGTAATTCTTTCACGTTTTCTCATTTTGCTATATATTCTTTGTATATCTTATTTCAATGAATTACCACGATTTTATCCATTGATCATTTTCATGAAATCTGTGCACAAACAAATTTATGAAAGGTTTTTTCCCCGCTTCATTTTATATCATTTCCGTGGTTTTCCGTTGTGCATAACCGATGTCCGGGATGCCATTATGACGTCATTTTGGTAAGTGTATATAGATAAATGACGTCACATGGAAATTAGCAGTGAAGATAATCTGTATTACTCCTGATATAAACAACGGAAATTTAAGATCGATACTAGGAGGAGAAAATATGGATATTATTTTACAAATTGCCAAAACCCATCCCTAAATGTAGTCAAGAAAATTTTAAAAAGTTACAAATACAAAAACTATCTAAAAAAAAAGTTGAAAGACACGTCATTGTATACTACAAGGGAACCGATTGGCAAACGATTGAGCATTAAACACGTCCAGCTTCACATCGCACTAGGAGACAACATATTTCTCAATGAATGAGATTACTGTGACGACTGCAAAACTTTCGAATAATTTTCATCAACCTGAATCAAACCCAATTTCAGTAAATCAATGACATCTGTGAACAGAAAGATTTACCGAGAAAACAAAGGGGTGGTAACATAAAGGTTCTACAACTCGTGGCAGTGGATTATCATCGTTATCTAAATCGAGTAAGGTAATTTCAAATTTAGAAAAGACACGAGGCTAACGAGAGTTAACTGCCACGAGTTGTAGAACTTCTTTCTACCATAACCTTTTAACGTAAATATATATATATATTGGGTGCAACATTGTTTCGCCCCCATTGACACTTTCGCGTAAGAATACATCGTAGGTTGTCTGATTGGCTCATTAATATGCAAAAAGAGACAAAATCACTATTTTTGAAGCAAAATACTTATTTATTCAGTAATCTTGTTTGGAAACATCCCGTAACATTAGTTTATTGGAACACATTCCAAAATTGCACAAATTTTTAATCTTTAAAAAAAATAATTTGGAACTAGATTTTATTGCGGATAAGAGTAGTGCTTCTTCGCGGGAAAATGTAAATGCAGACAAACCTGTATCTTGATTCCAAAACGACCTTGCCCGTATCCAACCTAATATCAAAGGTTGGCAAACCAAAATTACTGCATTTAGCAATTACTATCCCCTTTCCCCCTCCACACAGTTTTACCGCATCACCGATCTTAACCGTCGGCAAGAGTGACAGATCGTCACTGTCAGCCATGTTGATGATGGACAGCAGACGATGAAAACAATCGCACGTGGCGAAAGTAGTTCGGGGTTACAGATCATGGTTGGATCAAATGTCAATGCCTCGTCCAATAGATTTCGCTGTCACCAATACTACACGTGTGTATTATGCGTATGAATAAACACTGGATATGGTGTTTAATGAATAGTCTGGGCGTGAGATAATATGCGCAGGTTATGATAGAAATTTTACTTTACAGACGACACAAATCATGTAATGTCAATTTAATGGTGGAAACAGAGAGTCTTTTATGGACCTTACCGAGTCTTTTAACCTCCATCAAATGGTTAAGGAACCCACGCGTGTAGCTGACACATCTTCACTCATTGACCATGTATATATGCCAGCTCCTGAATACTTAAGGAATTAATGATCACTATCCAGTTTGCTTTGTGCGCAAAAGATCTTTTGGGTCAAAATATACTCATACCAATATGGCGTACAGGTCTTTTAAAAACTTTGATGACCAAGAATTTGCCAAAGTAATTGCTAGTGTTCCTTGGTTCATAATAGAGACATTTGACGATGTGGACGATGCACTAGATACCTGGATGTATCTATTTTTCAGTACTGTGAATGACTATGCTCCAAAAATGGAGGGAAGGGTGAAAAAAACGAAACATGGATGACGATATTATTGAAAATATAAAAGTTAGAGACGAGCTGAAACGTCAGGGTGAACATGGAAGATACAAAATACAACGTAACAAAGTTTCTTCCATGGTTCGTCCGGCTAAAACAAATTACTACAAAACAGTTACTGAAAAAAAATCTTAATAATCCCAAAATTCTTAGGAAGCTGACACAGGAACTTAGTCCTCCCAAAAACTTACCATCTCCAAACATGTTATAGATAAATGAGAAACATGTATTTGAAAAAAGTGAAATAGTTAATCACTTTAATAGTTATTTTACAGAGGTTGCTGGTAAATTAATTTCTAAGCTTAAAAATGTTACAACCTCTTTTGAGAAGTTGAAAGAATATGTAAATAGTTAACTACATAATAGTACCCAGTTTGTCATACCAAAAGTGTCCGTTGATTTCGTCGTCAAGTTTTTGTGTAATTTGGACGACCACAAAGCTACTGGTACTGATGATGTTTGTGCTAAACTTTTCAAGATTGTTCATGGAGAAATAGCTCATTCACTTACATTTTTTATTAATCTTAGTATCCAGTCTGGTAAGTTTCCCACGCGGTGGAAGTTGGCAAGAGTTACCCCCCTCTATAAAAGTGGTTACACTGCTGATGTTAGCAATTTTTGACCAATTTCTGTTTTACCAATGCTGTCTAAGGTTATTGAGAGACATATTCACATTTTTTTTACAATTATCTTAATACTCAAAGTGTAATTTTATCTTTTCAGTCAGGTTTAGATTAAAATCACTTCTGTGTAACTGCACTGTTGAATGTAGTCAACTACTGGGGAAAATATAGATTAAGGTTTGAATATACGAGTTGTGCTGTTAGATTTTAAAAAGGCGTTTGATTTGGTAGACCATGATGTTTTACTCATAAAAATGTCTTTGTATCATATTGAACATAGGTCAATGTCATGGTTTAAATCATATTTAGACAACATAACCCAGATAGTATCTCTTGCAGGCCATATGTCTAATGTTTGCAATATCACACATAGTGTACCTCAGGGATCTATTCTCGGTCCTCTTATGTTTTTAGTTTTTATCAATGACTTGTCCCTACATGTTTTATCAAGCATTGATATGTAGCTTGATGATTCTAAGTTGTCTGCTGTTGGTAAGTCAGTAGAAGATATCACAGTTACATTACAGGCAGATTTAAACAATGTAAGTAAATGGCGTGGAGATAACAGAATGATGATTAATGTACCAAATGTATGTGTATCTCATCAAAGCAAAAACCAAGGAGAAACAATTTAAATTTTGAACTTTATATGTGTGATGAACCTTTAGAACAGGTTTGTAATGATAAACTACCTGGTGTAAACGTTGATGATGGACTAACGTGGTCAAGTCATATTACATCTGTTGTATCTAAGATTAGACAAAGCATTGGTTTATTACGACGTAATAGTCCATATTTACCTACTG